GGATTAATTTAACTATTTTGTTTTTACAGTGTGGGAGAGTGTATCATTCTGTATTGTTCTGGGGTTATTCTGTATAAGGAGGGACAATGTAGTTTTGTGTATAGTATACAACATGTAACTTAATCACCATTAGAATGAGGTAGAGTTTCACCTGTGAGTGAGGCAAGTGAGTGAGTGAGTTAGACCTGTGAGTGAGTGAGTGAGTGAGGTAAGTGAGCTGTGAGTGTGTGATAGAGACCAGTGAGGAGTGGCGGAGCTGAACCCGGGCCCACACGGGCCTAGGCCCGGGCATCGATTCTCTGTAATGAGATTCATTAGATGCAATGTAAACAATTCCTTGCCCAAAGTTTAGATAGAGTCAACCACAAGCCTCACCAGAGTACTAACAAGTGCATTCAGGTACATTTAAGTAATTAGCAAGCAATTTTTAAGTAAAATACCCAAAGAAAAAGCATTATACATGTATTCAAGAGACGGATGTATTGAAAAGCATCTATGGAAAAAGTTAGAAACTGGACACACCCACATCCACGCCCGGGCATCAGTTGAGTTCCAGCTCCGCCACTGCCAGTGAGTGAGTAAGGCCAGTGAGTCACTGAGTGAGTGGAGACAGTGAGTAAGTGAGTGAAGGAGATCAGTGTCATTGAGTAAGTAAAGGAGACCAGCGTCATTGAGTGAGTCAGGACTACCAGTGAGTGAGAGGGACATGTATGGTACCAGTGTAGTACCTATGTGGAAGGGACAATGTAGAATTGTGTATAGTATTACATGTAAGTGACCATGACAGTGAGGGAGATCAGTGATTGAATGACTGAGTAAGGGACAGAGATATGTAGTGTACCATTGGTACTTCTGTGGTTACTGTATGGGAGGGAATTGTAGTATTGTGTATAGTATAGTACATGTAACATACCCAGAATGAGACTGTTGACTTGTGAGTCGATAAGTGGAGTGAATGAGAGTACCTTGGGAACTTCTGTTGTTATTGTATGGGAAGGACAATGTACATGTGCTATTGTGTATAATAGTAGATGTAACTTACCATTGCAATGAGTGATACTGTTAGTAATGAGTGAGGGAGACACGATACCTTTGGTTACTCAGTACACTGGGTACTGAATGGGAAGAGTATATGTTGTATGTAGTGAAATTTTAACTTTTTATGAAATTTGGTCAACACCCTATAATAATGGTACAGGGACTTTGGCCAAATTGCATCAATCTCCATTTTTACAATTTTTTCTGATACTTGTGCATATACTTGTCTTTTAATTGTGAATCTTTTTTGAGCTGATTATCATCAAATTTGATTTTTTATGGAACTTTAAAGTTGCTGTACTGTATATTGTACTGCATGTTTATCTCACATAGCGTGCTTTATGGGTGGGTAAAATTTTACCTGTGTTTATGTGTATATACCTCATTCTTTTTATATCAAACATTACAAGCTTATGTTTACATTAATTATACCACTAGTAATGAAAATGGTAAATGGTGTGTAACGTACTTGTATTTCGGTGCAGTAGTTCAGGTATACATCAGCATAATAGTGTTACCATTTACCAGTACCATAATGATAATAGGGCACTCAATTGCATTACCGACAATTATTATTACTATTACCATTCACTGCTGTACATGTACTAGGGTTTGGCTACGCAAGACTATTATATGTACCTCCCTCTTTTTTCCAATTTGGCTTCTCCATCTCTTCAGTTTCAATGCACCAAGATACTTACTGATGCTCAGTTTTATACATTAAAGTAAACTCAAGTAGTCAAGTGTATTGTGTAAATCTGTTAAAGTTAATGTTAAATTAATATTAATGAATTTAACCACTGTCTCTTTTTCGTTAATATTAATCATATTTTAGGTAAAGTACTAATTAACATTGAAATAATTTTAGCATATTGTAGTTCACTTGTGGTCACCCATTTAAATAGTCCTACCAAGATCTTACGAGATGTTATAGAATTTAGCATGGAATTTCAAAATTTTAGAAGGTACACAATTTTGGAAATTCATATTTGCTTAATTCTTAACTAAACTTACATGAGTTTTTACATCATCACAGTAGATATAAGATCTTATACAATCATACATAGTCTTTATTTTTAAAATAATAAAATACTTCTCAGATTTTGTAAGATCTCAAAATGTTTATTATGAGATATATTGTACGATCTTTCATAATCATGTCACTTGTGATCTTAATGATGTTCACATCAATCTTACAAGAAATATGTAAGAAAAAAATAGTGAAAATGTATATTAAATATTAACATTAATATTAATATGAAATATTAACATTAAATTGTATATTAATATTCTATTAAATACGTCAACAACATCATAATAGATGAGATAAGTATGGACTCACACTTAACAATGTCCTTCATTAACAAGGGGCTAACTGAAATTAAAGGAACTGATGACACTGAGGTTCTTTTTAGAGGTCATTGCAGGTGACTTCTTTCAGTTGCCACCAGTGAGGGACAAATTTGTATTTGAAGATGGCAGAGGCTACAATCAAGGATCAACACACTTGTGGAGGGATCATTTCAAACTAATAGAACTCAGAATATGAGACAAATAGGAGACACAGAATATTCAGAAATTCTCAACCATGTGAGACTATGTTCTCAGACAAAGTCTGACATAAGTGTACTCCGATCGAGATTGACAAGTTGTATCAGCGATCCTATTAATGTCAGCCCACCTCCATTTGTTAATGCTTTATGCCTACTGCCTTTAAAAGAGCAAGTAGAAGAATATAATGACAGTAGATTAAAAGGATTTATCACGCTGTACTAAAATATATGAATTTGATACAGAGCATTCAATAGTAGAGACAACAACACTAATCCCTGGAGTAGTGTCACATGAAGAAGTTCCAGAATCGCTCATATCTTCTAATGACAGAGATTGTGCTGGCTTATCACGTAAAGTGAAGTTAGCTATAGGAGCACAGGTTATGTTATGATGTAACATTACATGTAAGGAAGGATTAGTAAATGGAGCTAGAGGAATAATTGTGGGTTTCTCTTGGCCAAATGGAGCTAGTGATCAAGCAAAGAAAGGGAACTTACCACAAAAAGTACATGTAAAATTTCATGAATCATGTGTAGGTCTAGTGAGCCGTGTCACAATTAATGATTCATCAGAGCAAGAAGCTGTCCCAATAGAACCAGTCACAGCCAAGTTCTATGGCAAGCAAGAAGTAACATTACAGCATACGCAGTTACCATTACTACCTTGCTGGGCAGCAACTATATATAAGGTTCAGGGTCTATCTCTTGATGCTGCTGTAATCGATCTAGGTCCTAAAATGTTTGAAGATGGAATGGTATACGTTGCCTTAAGTAGAGTAAGAACACTCCAAGGAGTTGCTCTACTAGGACTAGTTTAAAAGAAAATCACATCATCAACAGTAGCAAATGATGAAATGGATAGACTAAGGAACCATAGATTATAAATGATGTGTCTTCTTGGATAGTGAAGAGATATTACTATAATAAAAATTAAAACTACAAGAGTGTTGTGGTCTGTATTATAGTATAATATACAACTCTTGACTCTATTTATAATATGAAGTAAAATAATCATGCTCTTTGAAGTGATGATAAGACAAATATGATCACGCTCTTTGCAGTGATGATAAGATCAATATAATCAAGCTCTTTGGAGTGATGATAAAATTAATATTTTATGATAATGTGACCATAATTGACAAAAGGTACCTTATGGCGGATAGGAAAATTGATCTTTATTGCCTTAAAAATCCCACTTTCTGAGCTCCATTCATCATGAAATTACTCCAGAGGATGCAAAAAGTTACTATGTAACTTTTAGAAACAATGGTTGTCTAACAGAGCACTCACAGGTTGATATTTTTCATCATAATGATGAATTTTAAAATCCGCCATAAGGTACCTTTTGTCAATTATGGTCACATATATTTGTTTGTTTATATTTGTGTTATGTGTTATCTAAATGTGCATGTACAAAAATAATCATATATAAGGGTTAAAATGATAATAGTAACTAATTATTTTGATGTTAGGAATAATATGTGACCATAATTGACAAAAGGTACCTTATGGCGGACAGGATAATTGGTCTTTACAGCCTTAAAAATCTAGCTTCCTGAGCTCCATTTATCATGAAATTACTCCAGAGGATGCAAAAAGTTACTATGTAACTTTTAGAAACAACAGTTGTCTAATGCAGCACTCACAGGTTGATATTTTTCATTATAATGATGAATTTTAAAATCCGCCATAAGGTACCTTTTGTCAATTATAGTCACATATATACAAGATAGTGAAAACAATCTTACGATTTTGTTACACTAATACGCTTGTTATATTATAGATTAATAATAACCAAAATGTTACATTTTAAGAATCATAACTAGTAATGTTTATAATTATTGGGTAATGTAACTATGTACAATTTGGTGGAATCGCGGGCTAGGAAATTTTTATGCCATTTGATTTTATGTACTTCACTGATACTGCCATTACAGGAACTTCAGCACTTGCTTTAATCTCTATTACGAATCGTGAAACAAGGGCATCTTGTGCCTACAAATCTAGAATGTCACGGCAAGGTTGACCCGAAGATTTCAATATATTTGTTGTAGTTTTAAAGGCTTAAGGTACAACGGGCTAAACGCACAATTTAGTTTTCGGAACACAAATTGTTTTCTTTATACTTTTTCCACAATATATAATTTTTTAAATTTTTTTCTCAATAGTGAGATGCAATAAACTTTACTAAACTTTTTAAAAATTAATGGTTGAAAACTGACTAAATAATTCTTGAACATAATGAGAGTGCTTTAATTTTTAGTAATATGATTGTTTTTATAATATTATTTTCTATTGACGTTTGTTCCATCACTTGGCAAAAGTTATTCAAGTTTTGCAAAATGGGCTGCAATCTCTCATAGAGTTTTGTTCACTTTCAAACATCAGTGTATCACAAAAGCATTTACTGCATACAAACTTGATTGAGTGTTTGCCTTCATTATGCCACGATTGCAAGCTTTAGAGCTTCATAGAGCCTGCATTCACCAGATGAAACTGCTAAATAAACAATAGTCAGGAAATACATACTGGTGGCCATTTTTATTAATGGTTTCACTAATATGACATCATAACATAACCCCACCTTGCAATTAATTTTTCCCACCAGTTTTATAATGTACAGAGGTATCCAGAAATGACACAAGATCAAAGATGGCGTATAAAGTATGAAAAGTTATGCAGGAATTTTCTTTAATATTTAAAGTTCAATGATCTATAACTTCTAAACAGTGCATGGCAAAAATTTAAAGATAGCACAAGTTGTACAACTTTTTCTTTACTATAAAATGGCAGCAATTAAAAAAATATTAAAATTTCATCCAAAAGTACCTTAATGAAAGCAACACTTCCAACATTGGCAGATTTGACAAGTATCTGAACTGCTCCATACATTTCTGCTTCATCCTCAAGCATATATGCATGAACTGCAAAATTTTTTCCGCCCTTCATGATAATCAATTTTTGCACTTCCCCAGAACTTCCTTAAATCTAGAAATATGACAACTCTAAGTTACAAGATTCAAATCAACCATTGGCGTACCCCTGAGTAACTTTGGTCCATGTAGTTAAACCACTTTTCTAAATATGCAAACAGTCTTTTGACTCCTATAACTCTATCATTATAAAGATTTTGTAGATGAGCATAACATTTAAACCAAAATTAAGTTGATCAGCAACCTTGCGTGTAGAATGTACTGCTCTTTTTAGGGTGCCATTGTGGTTTAAAAAGAAAATGCAGAATGTGACCAGCATGCTCCCCATAAAAGAACAAAATGAGTCAAATGAGATAACGCGTGTGCATTAATGGTGCAGCTGTTTCTCCATATAGCTCAGGTAACAATTTGTAGCAATTATTCAGGATTTCTTATGCAGCTCCACATTCTGTATCAGTTATATGCTTCTGCAACAAAACATGCAAAGCACAAACAAGTAGAGAATAATGGTGAAAGTAGAGGGGAGGCAACACATCATGCAGTAATGGAAGTGAATAAAAAAAGAAGCGACACTTTATATTCGCTGGCTTTCCAATAGGAAAGATCTTTCATTAGAGAACGTGGCGACCAAGTGAACTCTGTAGGTGGAGTATGTGCTTGCAAAGCATTATCAACTTCATATAGCTGTTGTCTAATTGAAAATGGCTCTCTGCTGTATTTTGAGTTTGTCCAGAACATTAAAAGTGATTTAGTAACACTTAGGACGCAGTACATGTTATCTGGTGGCACATTTTTTACTAAATTTAAGTATCTGTGCAACACAGAATTGCCTTTTATCTCATCTACAATTGCACCTGTCTCATTGCTTTCTTGTTTCCTGCTTCCATACTCTATAAAGTACGTAAAGGGTATGTTGAACAAGGAAGATACAAATGGCGGTTATTTTGATGTACTCCTGGATGTACACAACCATAGGCACCATCAAATTATATCATATTCACAACTTAAGCTTTTGCAAAAAGTCAAAAACACCAAATAAAAGCTTGAGACGAATGCTTTTCTTCAAACCTTCAGAATTAACGAAGTCTAAACCAATGACATATAACCTTTCAATAGCTTCTAGTAGTATTGGACTCAACAAAATTTTCATATCTGGTTTGTTCCTTCTAACCCAAAGAACACAGATAACTGTGTTTTCAGTACGGAATCCAACAGGAGGAAAATTAACAATTTCTAGATACACTGGCCACATAGTTACGCGTGATGATTCAAATAATGCCACACCATTCATATTGAGTGCAACACCAATGTTCTCAGAACAATTGAAAAAACTGCTTCCTATGTTGCATAGGTGAAGATCCGGACAGCTAAAGTCTGATGCTTGTGAACAACATTGAATGTCTTTTGATTGACCTAGTCGATATGATAAATATTAGTAATCATGGTATTATCTACAATACTGGGCTTACAGGAATGTCAGTGTAAATAGAACCGATGTTGAAGTCAATGATTATAATTGTAATTAATTAAATCTTTTATTTTAATCACATGACATGCATTGGTATTAATTGCAACATGCAATTGTAATCATAACAATTAATTTGACTAGTAGCTACAAAATCATTAAAGGGTAACTCAACCCAAAAATTTTTTTGCAGAAATAAGTTGGTAATAAAGAAAAAATCATAGGAAAAATAAATAAAATTTTTAAAAAGTACTTTTTCCATACTAAATCTTGGGTCAAATGTTGCTATTTCTTGCCTTGCAGCCATTTTGTCAAAATCACTTCCGGTTGTGGGCGTGGTCACGCGATGACGTATATGGGGGAACATTAGCAAGTTTCTGCACTGAAATATTAGCAACTTCAAGGCTGGATATCTCAGCTATGCGTGCAAGAAAGCAATTTTAATGAAGTGGACCATATAGGACTAATCTAAAGCTTACTACAAACAATAATGCTGGTATAAAAATCAATATATGTGACCCGATATGAGAAAACCAGGCTATATGCTCCAAAATTGAAAATTGAGATTTATGGTTTTCTTAATTAAGCAAAGTTTTTCCTATCTTTTGGTCCTTCTTCCATGTCATTTGACACATCTAGTGCTGAGTTATGTTTATTTATGCCACAAGAAGTCTAAACTAATGAAATTAAGTTACAACCATTTTTATCATTATTATCTTGCATTATTTACATGGTACACAACAAAAAGAAAGGTCTGTAAATGACGTCTTTTAAGTTATTTTAGGGCAAACTTGGTATCAAATGAAAGGAAATTCTTTATACAATATATTTTTGGTATAATCTCAGTTTTGATAAGGTATCGCTGTCACAACTTTCAGAAGCCATATCTCTAATTGATAATTCCCGCAGATAGCCTGGTTTTCTCATATTGGGTCACATATTTATAAAAAAATTAATTTGACAAATTTACATTTTGACTGTATATACTAGCTCTGTTTAGCTCTTAATACTTGAAAAATACCTCTTAGCTGCTTTCTTGCACGCATAGCTGAGATATCCAGCCTTGAAGTTGCTAATATTTCAATGCAGAAACTTGCTAATGTTCCCCCATCTACGTCATCGCGTGACCACGCCCACAACCGGAAGTGATTTTGACAAAATGGCTGCAAGGCAAGAAATTGCAACTTTTGACCCAAGATTTAGTATGAAAACAGTACTTTTTGATAATTTTACTTATTTTTCCTATGATTTTTTCTTTATTACCAACTTATTTCTGCAAAAAAAGTTTTTGGGTTGAGTTACCCTTTAATTTGACCAGTAGCTAATCATACTCAGTTACAAATATTCATTCAGGTATATGTATATAGTCATGACAACACAATAACCATTTTGTTAGTTTCATCAAATCCAACCATGCAGA